CCCAGCCCCCAGCTCTCTCCTCCTCCCTCAGAGCCTCTGTCCTCACTGGGTCCTCCTGACCTTCTCAGACCGTATCCCCTTCCTCGGACCCTCTCCCCTCCTTATACCATTTTATTTCTCTCTCAGCCCTGTCTTTCTCCTTCAGGTCCTCCTCCCGCAGACTCTTTATCCCTCATCCATCCTCAGACTGGGCACCCCCTCTCCCTCAGCCCTTCCAAGCCCCACTCTGGGCCGCACACGGATGTCCCCTCCCCAGGCCTGCCTGGGCCCAGAGCCACTGCTCCCCCTGCCCCAGGATGCCCTTCCAACCCTACCTCCTAGGGTCACCCCCTTGATGAGACCTGCCCCTCTGCAGCTAGCTTCCCGTTTCTCTACTGTGGGGTCATGCTCTGCACCCCACCCCTCTCCTGTGTCTGAAAGTCCCCAGAGATGAAGGCTGGGTGGGCAGCGCCAACAGCATCCGGACTTCCGATCTCTCCTCTTGCTGTCGCCCAAACAACACGGAGAGGCAGGGGTTGGCGTCAGCCCATTTGCCGGAACAGGCTGAGTCTCAGGAGGACTGACTGTCGGAGGTCCCAGGGAAGCAGGGGTGGAGGTGGCATTTGAACTCGGGTCTTGCCCGGAGATGTTCCCCCATTACAGGGACTGAGGGGGCGATCCAGAGAGAGAAAGAATGAGGAAGAGGTCAGGCCTCTGTCCGCTGCGGCTCCTCACATCCCGGGTTAAGTCCCTTTTTGGGGACCAGGGCCCCCCACCCAATTTCGGGGTCCCAGAGAGAGGCTGCCTGGGAGACAGATATACAGACAAATATCAGGAGACAAAAAGAGACGGGCAGGCCGCAGACAGCGAGAGGGAGGCCAGGGATGAGGGACAGAGCTGCAGAGATGGGGGGGATGCACTGAGAGGCCCTGCGTGCCGCCTGACAGGTCCGGGGTGTAGCCGCCACTCCCTCGCCCCCCTAAGCCCCAAAGCCTCCCCCTCGGTCTGCTGGAGCTCAGTGACCCGGACTCAACCCCAGCGACCGCCCCGCCCCCAGGGAAATCCGGGAAAGCCCCGAGCCGCCCGGGCCCCGCCCTGGGGTGGAGAGAAGGGCAGCAGGGGAGGGG